CCCTCCTCCCTCCCTCTTTCTTCTCCCCTCTCCCTTCCTCTTTCTCCTCCCCTCTCCCTCCCTCTTTCTTCTCCCTCCTCCCTCCCTCTTTCTTCTCCCCTCTCCCTTCCTCTTTCTCCTCCCCTCTCCCTCCCTCTTTCTTCCCCCTCCTCCCCCACCTGTGTAGTAGCGTGGCCGAGCCCTGTATAGTCCGCGGGTACAGGGAGCTGTTGTTTCCTGTACCCGGCCGGACTAACAGGAAGTGAGCACTCAGTGTTCACTTCCTGTTGATCACGACGAGGCCTGAGACAACTACTCCCTATTACCCGATCAGTTATACCTCGAAGGGCTTCGACCCCTTCAATCGAGGAAGCTGACAGGTGGGAGCGCTGAGCGCTGAGCGTTTCCCTCCTGTCAGCCTCATACGGCGATGCCAGTCGCCCTCATGCAGGCCTTACGCCGAGCAAAGCTTCTGCAGCCGCCTGAGGCTCTTTACAGAGCGCTCGGGCGGCTGCAGCATGGGGGGGCCGGCGCTCCTGGCGGCGCCCCCTCCCAAGGGGCGCCCTAGGCGGCTGCCTAGTCCGCCTTACAGGTAGCGCCGGCCCTGGGAAGAGGTGAGACCCAGGGTTTGGAAAGTGACCTGCCCTCTCCTGCAGAGCACTCGGAAGATAGGGAGCAGCAGCAGCCTGGCAAAAAGTAGAGGTATGCTCCTTGTAGATAGGCCCCTATGACCACCTGCACCCACTACAGCCTCCATCCCTCCTTGTACCCACCTCAGCCCCTTTGCACCCACTACAGCCACTATCCCCCCTTGCACCTACCATAGGCCCTGTGCCTTCCAGCACCCACCTCAGCTTCTGTCCCTCCCTGTACCCAATTCCCCCACTAGAGCCCTTATGCCTTTCTGCACCTACTATAGCCACTATCCTAATTACACATGTACAGCCTCTATATGCCCACACACACAGCAGAGCCTCTATTATCCATACAAACACAGATACACTACACCCCCAGTATACATACAGACCTGCATACAGACATACATACATGCATACATACATACATACATACACACACAGCTCATTTTTTCAGCCACCCTCCTGTTTACTTTTTCTTTGCAGGAGGGTGGCTGGGGCTGATGGGAGTCGGCCTCCGCTCTCCCTCTTCACTGCAGGGCTGTCTCTCCTCCCGAGCGGAGTGAGCTGGGAGGAAATGACCACTTCCTCCCAGCAGCACTTGCGCTGCGGCTGTTTTTTTTTTCATCCCAGGCCCCACATGTAGATATATGGCCCATCGGGTGGGCGGTGCACTTAGGGCCACCCTATGGGCCATATATCTTCAGGGGCCCGGTCAGCGCAGTGGCCGTGTAATAGCGCAACCGGGCCCCTGAAGATATAGGGCCCATCGGGTGGCCCACGCACTTAGGCCCCATCAGCGTGCGGTCGCCGTAGCAATTGCACCAGCGGCAGTTCCGCCGTCACACGTGGGGCCTGGGTGTCCACCCCCTGTTGGCGGCCCTGCCCCTACTACAGCATCTGTCCCACACACTGCAACACAACCAGCCCCCTCCACTCACATGCTACATTGCAAACAGCTCTATGCACACAAGCAAATCCATAAAGAGCTTCATTATTTACACACAACATCATCCCCACACATGCAAAACCACATGCAGCCTCCCTACACTTACACATCCCAAGCAGCATCCTCACCATTGCAATACTCATAGAGCCTCCTTACACACACACGCAATTATTACAATCACTTATATAGCACTAACATACTCTGCAGCGCTGTAGAATATGTAAAACAAGACAAACGATTAATTCTAACACAACACATTGACATACAGAAACACATCACTAGCAGCATCCCACACAGGCAACCACACAAGCAACGTGTGTTCGGAGGCTACTTGTATGGCTGCACGTGTGGGGGAATGCTGCTTGTGATTTTACCAGCAAACATAGTGAAAGCGTGTAATAAACCTTTATTTATTAATTTATTTTAATGAGGGGAAGGATTGCTCCATCAAAAAAAACTGTTTTATTAAAACACTGTTTATGGTTGGATTAACCCCTTAAAAATTACATCTGACCGTTTGGGGGGGTCCTGTGGGTGTGGGAGTCACCCTCAAGCCGTCAGTTCACCCCTGAATGCAATACAAAAACATATTGGGCTGTAGCAATAGTGATGTTGTGAATATCTGAACGTGCGAACTCAAATATATGAAAGCTTGGTCGCAATAACTGAACTAGAAAAAAAAAATCTAGTCAGTTCTGTTTTCATTGTGGCTATTTTGAATTTACAATTACTTTTGAATTCACTTTGAATTCTTGGCAATGTAATGAATAATCCTGCTAGGGTAACTGCAAAGAAAATGTAGTTCAGTGTGCAACTGGCTTCTTTCTTTGCCTACAAGAGGTTAATTAAGATCACCTCTAGCCACTGTGCTGAGCAATAAATATGTAATTTAAAACAGCTCCGTGGAAGGCACTACTGTGATTTATTGAAGAAAAGGAACTGCGGTGTGACTAGCTGATGAACATACAGGTATTGTCTTATGGTATAATTATGTGGCATCATACGTGTTTCAAGAAAGGTTGAACTTGCTTGACACAAGTCTTTTTTCAGCCTATATAACTAAGTCATATGTATGTATCTATGAGTGTGTATATATATATCTATCAGAAAATCAACAAGCCTGTAAAAAGAGTTTTCCCTACACTAGAAATGTATGCTGTTGCAAAAGATACTGCACACTAACACATATGGGAAAAAAATTTCTGCAGTGGATAAGCATTTGTGAATGCAGCATGTCTGATACGTGCTGAAATGTAACTTGCTGCAGGCAACCAAATCTGTTCTCTATTTCTATAGTATATTTACTGCGAAGCTGCTGCTGTAACATTTCACTAATTGGTTGAAAAATATGGTGCATGTGATTTACATTAAAAAATGTGCTTATTTTAGTTTTATTTGAAGTTAACACTTTTGCAAAATTAGGATGTGTCATTACATACTGGAAAGCATGGGCTGGAATATTAGGGAGCAGTGACAAGTGCCTGTCCCCCCCCCCCCTTCCACAGGCAGGGCCGATCCTGGGTGAGTGCAAAGAAGCGCATCAGCAAGGTCTGCTGTTGCATCTCAGCCGAAGGAGACAGGGTTGTAGTCCTGAAAGCAAACTCACAACACTTGGATCAGTCACATTACGCGGCATAATTAATGACTACCTGCAGGGCTGCCACCTGAAATTTTGGGGCCCCTGACACAGCACAAGGTCTGGGCCCCCCCTGGCCTCCTCCCGCCTGGCCCGCCACGAGTCCGTCCACAAGTCCGCCCACAGGACTCCTACCTAGTCCGCTGCAAATGATGCAGGACTGAATGTGGTTTGTATAGTTTAAGTGAATTAGAATGTG